TTTTTATTGCAATCCAACAACAAAACACACACTGTTGCAATTGTCACACCATTGTATTCATGCAATACTTAAATGGTATAGTTTTTTTTTTGGTGCGTTATTGCGTTTGCAATTCTCTCATTAAAACAGCTGTCAATTGTAAACAACAAAATAAATGAAACTAAAACAATAGAGGCAAAAATGATTCCAAATAAATTAAAAAGTGAAAAACTAAACAAATAGTGGTCAACAGAAGGAATATAAATGTTCTTTCATTATATGGAGGAGGCACCAAGTATAGAAGTACTTTTTTTAAACAAATAAGTGTTTTTTTTACAAACCGCGGAACTGTTACAAAAATTAATGTTAGTTGAGGCCGTATACATAAATGGAAAGTTAGGTATCTACAGACCACTTATAAATAGGCAAAAGTCTTACATTCAGTCCAAGTTATTTCCTGGGCAATTTCTTTCAAAGATTATTGAAAAAATCAAACAAAAACTTTCATTAATTGTTGACTTCTATCAGCTGTTAAATTGCATTGCATTGCAAATATCAAAGAAAGAAACCGCTAGCAATCATTAGCAAAATATTTGCAAGATTAAACTTTTACAATGCAAAACGCATCGAACGTCGAATACCGCTATTGTTTTGGGTTTTGCACTGAATATTCAGATTAAAATTTGAGATAATCTTGAGTTTATTCAGCATAGTTGATTTTCTGCTTCTTGATCATCATTTTAAACATCTGAACCAATTTCGATTCATGTTGTGTCAGAAGTCTTGCACGAATTTTAGAAATTTCAAGTCCATTGTTCAAAGGAGGTTTCGATATGCACTTTATATAACAGGTGTTATAATATTATGCTTTTTGTATATGCTGATGATTGTGATATGTTTTACAAAGATTATAGGATATGCTGCAATGTCTTTGCTAATTTGGTATGATAAATATTACTTAATATTATGCACATAGTTTGAACATTATATAAGATTTTTCCACGAAATGAAAGTAAATTTATGAGCAAAATTTATTGATGTTTTGCAATCGAACATTTTCCAATCAGCAATAACTTGGTACACAGAAAAAACTGGAGCTCTAAAATTGCCTACAATTTGAGTGTAACTTTTCACCCATTGGCCCTAGCTTGAAAAATCTTTAAATGCTTATAACTCCTTAACCAATTAAAAGAGATACAAAATTTAAAATAAAATCGTTTTTATTAAGATTATTGATTTCTTCGAACTGTGATATTAATATTATTAATTGAATATTCTTTAGGCTCGAGTTCGAGTTCCACTTGGGGATAAGTCATTTTCCAAATTGTAATGATATTTTTAATTATAAGAATACTGAAAATTTAATTTTTCGGACACAACAGCAGAATTTTCTGCTGATGAGGAGCCGTCCCGAAAATGCATTCCATTCTGCTGTTGTGTCCGACTTATCCCCAAGTGGGACTCGAACTCGAGCCTGAAGAATATTCAATTAATAATCAAAACATTTTTAATTAAACATACTAAACTTTGTTTAAAAACTATGGAAATGGAAGCCGTTTCGGGTTGTTAACGTATTCCTAAAATAGTATTTTAATGTAAAATTTGACAACTTACTTTTTAATTGAAGGGCTTATTGCAGTAACTCGATATGCCACAAAAATAAAATTTTCGACATTAAAGTTTAAAAAAATTCTAAAATTTTGTTTTTTTAATTTGTACTTCAAACACGCCTAATAATCATATAAGGTCGATAACTATCTTATGCCAATAGATGGATATCATAAATAAAGTGGAAACTATTGGTTTAACAAAAAATTGTGGCTTATCAAGTTATTGCCTCACAATATTAGAACATTTTTTATTTTCAAAAAACAAGTTCTAGTACGTTTTCAAAGTGGCTAATCATGTTCTTGCTACAAAAAAATCTATAAATTTTATTTTCAATATGAAATTATATTTTTAGTTACTTTTTTTATATGAGAATAAATTTGGCTAAATATTCTTAGCTAAATTATTCTGCAGTAAAAGGCAGGTCCTGTTGTATGATTCTATTTTAAATAGAGTGACAAAACACATTATTAGCGGAGTTCAGTGTTTAGTGCAAATGGTCTTGTAAAAGAGCAAATGCAAAATTTCATAGCTTTTTATTGCAATCCAACAACAAAACACACACTGTTGCAATTGTCACACCATTGTATTCATGCAATACTTAAATGGTATAGTTTTTTTTTTGGTGCGTTATTGCGTTTGCAATTCTCTCATTAAAACAGCTGTCAATTGTAAACAACAAAATAAATGAAACTAAAACAATAGAGGCAAAAATGATTCCAAATAAATTAAAAAGTGAAAAACTAACGGTTGTATTCATAAAAAGTTAATTTAGGTTTATTAAACACTATTACGCAAAATCCACGAAAATGGTATTCATAAACGTCAAATAGCTTAAAATACTTTCAATAAACCAATGACAAATAGAAAAAAATTATTGTACGCTCGACCCTACTTTAAGCCAACAATAAGTTGAATTCTTACAAATTTTGTCTCTGATTAAGCTTTTTTCATTAATTTTAGGTTGAAGACGAAAACTAATCATGTTTTATTCTGAAATGAAATCTAAAAATTGTAATTTTAACGTTTACAAATTTGTAAATAAAATTCCAGATAAATTTTAAAAGTTTCTATTTTGGTGAAAAAACTAAAATCTAGGCATTATTGGATTAATAGATGAATATTTGACAGTATTCCAGTTGGTTAATACTATTTTTGGCAATTTGAAAATGCCCGCCTGTCAATCAAATCATGGCCGCAATCATTTTATTTGTCTTTTTCATAGTTTATTCGCTAAATATAAAGCCATGAAGTATTTAAGAGTGTAAATGATATTGATTAGTGTTCTATCAATGCAAAACATCTTCTCCGGCAATAAAATGTAGTCTTTTATCAAAGAAATTTATCAGTATTTGCAAAAATTTATTAAAAATTGCTATAAAAATAAGTAAAAATAACAAAATGTGCATAGTGATGTTTATTTTGTCACAAAATATTCGTTATTCGAATACTTTTAATTATAATTTAAAATATATATGTTATATTCATTCATCTGAACTAAATATATATTTATTGTAGCCATGTATACATTTATTTTTCTTAAAAGTTCGTTCTTATTTTCAAAAATGTGTTATAACCAAAAATATAAAATTAAGAAAACCGACTCAACGAATATTTTATCCTAATTGTTCGCAACACTAACACAGAAAATGACAGCCAAATTGTACAGTGCTGCCAAGTTAAACAATAAACAGCACAATAGTTAATGTAGGTTTGTTATTTGTTTATGAATACCACAATTTTATTAATGGCTTTTAAGTCTAAAGTGTACTTTAACTATTGTGTGATTTAAATCTAAAATAAGCATTTTTTATGAATACAACTGTAAACAAATAGTGGTCAACAGAAGGAATATAAATGTTCTTTCATTATATGGAGGAGGCACCAAGTATAGAAGTACTTTTTTTTAAACAAATAAGTGTTTTTTTTTACAAACCGCGGAACTGTTACAAAAATTAATGTTAGTTGAGGCCGTATACATAAATGGAAAGTTAGGTATCTACAGACCACTTATAAATAGGCGAAAGTCTTACATTCAGTCCAAGTTATTTCCTGGGCAATTTCTTTCAAAGATTATTGAAAAAATCAAACAAAAACTTTCATTAATTGTTGACTTCTATCAGCTGTTAAAAAGCTGTTAAATTGCATTGCAAATATCAAAGAAAGAAACCGCTCGCAATCATTAGCAAAATATTTGCAAGATTAAACTTTTACAATGCAAAACGCATCGAACGTCGAATACCGCTATTGTTTTGGGTTTTGCACTGAATATTCAGATTAAAATTTGAGATAATCTTGAGTTTATTCAGCATAGTTGATTTTCTGCTTCTTGATCATCATTTTAAACATCTGAACCAATTTCGATTCATGTTGTGTCAGAAGTCTTGCACGAATTTTAGAAATTTCAAGTCCATTGTTCAAAGGAGGTTTCGATATGCACTTTATATAACAGGTGTTATAATATTATGCTTTTTGTATATGCTGATGATTGTGATATGTTTTACAAAGATTATAGGATATGCTGCAATGTCTTTGCTAATTTGGTATGATAAATATTACTTAATATTATGCACATAGTTTGAACATTATATAAGATTTTTCCACGAAATGAAAGTAAATTTATGAGCAAAATTTATTGATGTTTTGCAATCGAACATTTTCCAATCAGCAATAACTTGGTACACAGAAAAAACTGGAGCTCTAAAATTGCCTACAATTGTTTTTGTCATAAATGGACAATTTATTGATTAAAAATTTTGTTAAGTTGATAAAATAATTAGTCAAAAGTTGTCTTTGGAAAAATAGCAACCGATAAATTCACTTAATAAAATAATTAATCCGTTTGAATAAAAAAACTTGTCAATTCGGTTAATTCACCTACAATTTTGTAATCGAGGGCATTTTCTTGTACTTTTTCTGCTGTTGCTATGCAATTTGCAGTTACTATGCTTTAGAAAGACGTTACAAAAACTTTTTTTGGAAATCATATTTTAGCTTAAGATTGTTGTTGTTGAAAGATCATGTCGAAACAAGACACGAGTAAAATTTTCAACGTTTTTTTTAGTATTTTTTTTGTGTTTATGTTTAGTTTTATTTTGCTAATCAAAGTGGAAGGACGTATTTTGTTAAGAGTGATCTGTTAAAAAAATAAAAGTAATTATAATTGTAATAATTTAATACGCATTTGTACTTAAAGTGAAAAGTGATTATAAACAAATATACATAATCGTAATTTTTTTAAATTATTTACATCTATAATTTTTCTTTGAAAGCCACATAAAGATGGTATGTTTAATAAGGTGTTCCTTTTGTGATGACTCATTTGACTTCGCAGAAATATTTATTTATTTGTCCATTACAACACAATTAAAAATTATATTCTAACCATATTTATCGGGCAGGGTGACGATGACCATATGCTCGTTGCAGTGTAGCAGACCAGAGTATCTGGTGGGAATCGAACCCACAACCCCCAGATACACTACCAAGATTATTATTATAGTAACGATAAAATGGATTTATATTGGAGGAAATGTTATAAATGTAGATTTCAGCAAATTGAGGGATCAAAGTCTTTATCCGAGATGTTAAAATTATGTCCTGAATACATAAAATCTTCCGTAAGTTAACTCTTAATACACTATAAATTAGATTATTTTTAACTAACTTAAATTTTACAGATTGACATAGATTTTGATCTGAAGCTAAACCAATGAAAACCAATTGGGTTCAGACTAAAGTACCAAACGTTTCTGTTACAACAATGCTGAAAAATTTGAAGTCGTGCAATGATGGTAAGCTGCTATATTATTGACTTTAATATAATTGACATTTAACATTTACATAATTACATTTTATTTCTTTTTTTTCAGAATCAAGGATATTTTCTATTCAATATTTCCTACATTACTTGTTTCCACCTCAGCAGAAATTAGTTACTGATAAAGCCGGAGCCCAAACCAGAAAAAAGTTTACCGTAACAGATTCCCATAATTCGTTTGCCATAGTTACAGACACCAAAAAGAAGCTGAATATGAAATTTAAACTTCTTAAACTTCAAAATAGTACAATCCAACCAAGGTTGCTTAAAACTTAAAAATTATTTCTCAAATTTAAATGTTATTTTAAACTTAATTTAATATATTAAAAATTAATTATTTATATTCCTAAAATGTACAATATAATATTATACTTTATTGTAATAGCATTAAAAACGTATATATATTTTTAAATAAAATAATAGTAAAAATATAATTTTTAAAAAATTTATTTTATTATTTGGGGTGGAAAAAAACAAGTTTGTTAAAAAAATTAGTCCAATCAATGATATTTTTTATTGAAATTGGCATAAAATCTAATAAAAAAATTGTTGTCTTAATAAAAATAATTATCATTTTTTTTTTCTAATTACTTAACAAATTTTATAATCAAACCAACTAATTATTTTATTGAAAAATAAGTAAAAAGTTCAAAAAAACTATTATTGGTTTGATAAAAAAGTTTGTTGGGGAATAAAAAATTAACTGAGTAATATTTTAGTCGATTTGATTATTTTTATTTATCGACTGTAAAAAACCAAAACAAGACAAAAAATTACAAATGTCGTAGTCAATGAGACAAAATCTTTATAGGCTGGGAATTGAATAATTTTGGATTCAGATCTGTGAATTTTGTAGTCAAATACGATTTTTATTTTTTTTTTCTGTGTAAGCAACATAATTATAAATGAAATTATTTTTATGCAGTAACATGGTAAGCCACTTTAATTTCAAAAAATTATATCTCCCGAGATTTCGAGCAAAAAATTTTTCTTTTCGTATAATTATGTATATTTGTCTTAACTTGTTCTATCACAGTAACATAAAAAAATAACAATTCCGCTTTTTTTTTTTTTTTTTTCAAATTGTTTAAATGGAAAAAGAGGCATGACCCTTATATCGCCAATTTACCCTAATATGCTAAAAATCTTTTTAGGGACATTAGATATGGTTACTAGCAACTCAAAAAGCACATAAAATCGAATTGTGATGGTTAGTGGCATATCCAGTTACTGCAATAAGCCCTTCATATGTATGTATTCTTTTGTGGATATACTTCGATGTGTTACAAACGGAATGACAAAAACAATCCCCGTCTTTTTTTATGGTGTAAATACACAAAAATGTGTTTTATTCAAAAAGGGGCAAAAAGTGGCAAGAAACGAAAGAAGTCGCAAATTTAGTTCATTTTGACAAGGGGTCATAAAAAGTGTCAAAACACTTGAAAAAGGGTCAAATTGCGACTTTAGTCTCACAATGGTAACGCTGCTTATGTACGTATACAAGAAAAGCAAGGGAGCTCGTTGCGTTTCGCTGGACTAAATGCACGGCGCGTTTTGATATAAAATAGTTGACAACAGGCATGGAAAATGGAAATTTTGAAGTTGTACTCAACTCAAACGAAAAAAAGTATTTTTTTAGACATAAAGGAACTTTTTCCAAAAACATTTTTATTGAAAAAATAAACAAATTATTTTTTTTTATTTTAAGTTTTATTGGAACGTAACGAAAGTGAAGTGACAAATCCTAATGATTTTTTCTATATTTACTCTAAATTAACTTCTGTTAAATGTAAAACTTTTGCTGGCCGTAAGGATTTTGTTTATTTTTTTATTGCATATCAAAACAAAACTTGGACACAAACTATGCCTCTTGCATTACATCTTTAAAAATATTAATCAATTAGAATAAAGTTTTACCTCACGGGTCGTTTATATTTCAATGATATTTACTGCGCTAAATGAAATTGTTCAGATGATAATGTCCTGTTTTTCCAATAAAATGGTTAAATTAAAAAAAAAACACTCTTTTCGAAATTCCCCATTATACACCAACTGAATACGCGTATGCTTCCAATTTTAAATAAGTAAGACCAAGTACATATTTCTTTACATAGTCAAACCAACTTACCAGGTCCAACACCTGAAATTTTAAGTTCTTCTTTGAACGACTAAAATTTGAGACATACTGCCGGTTTCTCTAAATGCGAAAGAACATTTTCTTACTTACAAATATATTGAAAACAACAAATAAATTTTTGTTGTTTTCAATATATAACAACAAATAACATTTGTTTTTGTTTTCAATATATTTGTAAGGCTGTGTGCCAAACGGTAGCAAAGTTCTATGGTAAAATAAAATTTTCTTATGATGGAAAATATTATCACTTTTGCAGTGCCAAACGAAATATTTTTGATTACATTAAATTTTGACAATTGTCACTAATTGCACAAGGAAATCTGCAGCTCTTTTATTGATTTTTTTTATTATTGAAATAAATTTCTACAATCAAATGTATTATAAACTAAAATTATAAAATATTTTATTTTTTGTATTTTAAAATTTTTCTTTTCATTTTTCAAAAATTTATGTAGCCTTATGAGCTAGTAAAATTTTATTCACCTCATATCTATCAAAAATTTACATTTTGAAGTAAATTGTTACCGATTGGCACACACTCTAAGAAAGAAAATGTTGTTTCGATATTGTGAAACAGTCAGATATTATCACTTTATTTTTTGTATTTTAAAATTTTTCTTTTCATTTTTCAAAAATTTATGTAGCCTTATGAGCTAGTAAAATTTTATTCACCTCATATCTATCAAAAATTTACATTTTGAAGTAAATTGTTACCGATTGGCACACACTCTAAGAAAGAAAATGTTGTTTCGATATTGTGAAACAGTCAGATATTATCACTAAAACTAAACGAAATCTAGTGATCTTGTTTATTTTTTGCCCTCAATATGTGGACCAGATTTATTCAAAATTTAACATTTTCGGAAGAATTTGTAAGCTACATGCGATAGGAATGGATAATGGTTTCTTTGGGACATTTTAAGTTCATCTAAAAAATATGTATAGGTTTTTAAATCATATACATATAATTTTTATAATTTAACAATTTTGATAAAAGATTTCACACATAGAAAAGTTGATATGCATGTGAAACTAGAGTCCATTTAGAGCAATTCTGCATACTCCATTTTTTATAATCAGCTCTTACGTCCTTACAAAAAGACTTCAAAGTTTAAAGGTCTTACAATTCAAACGAATATTTGAAATATTTACATTATTGGACAAAATAAAGTGCAAAAGTACTCATGCTATATTCTTTCAGTGAAAATTCGGTTAAATGATTATTGAATATGGAAATTCTTTTCAAAATCTTTTAGTTTATATTCAATGCTACAAAAATAACAATAAAACTAAATTATTGTACTTAAAATTTTTCTGTATTACATCAAAAATTAAAATAAATTCACTTTTTTGTCGGACAAAATAAAGTGTAAATTTTATATATCATTATTTAAATTTCTTGTATATCAAAATTTTTATCTATTTTGGTTCTGATTTTAATATTTGTATCTACTTAAGCCATTTTGGTAATTTTGTTCTCCATTATTATTCGCAACCGCCTTCCCTTCCCCTTGCTTTCCCCATATGATAATTTTCAAAAGAAATCCGTTTTTGATCACTATTTCATCGGAATTTTTTGATCAATTGTGGTCCAAAATTAATCTATTGAATTTAGGGCTGTGCTCTGAGCAACTTATTTCAATTTTTCAGTGGTTTTTCCTACGGTAATGTTATGTTTTTAACTTTATCAAGTGCTTAAGCTTATTATCTTGCCGAAATATAAAGTTGACCAAGGCCATTTCGAAGGCACTGATCTTAAGATTTGACTGTAATATGCTCACATAGTGTTCTTTGGAGCTTTTTGAATAAATTTCACCTAGGTTCCCCAAACCTAACATTAAAAATTGGACACATACGAAGAGTCAACTGACCCATACCTTCAATCTTTCACCAACATATTTAAAAGCATGAAAATTTTTTTCGATTTTAGTATTTAATTTCGAATTTTTAGCTCAAATTTACGTAGTTGTTTAGATGAGTCCCAATTTCTACCGAAAATTTTAAAATGTCGAGAATGAGTGTGAGTTAAGCCCTTCAATATACAAAATTTTAAAAACAATACCAAAGGTTTTAGACATTATGGTGGAGGGCTATCGGTATTGTTACATTATTCAACTTTAAGAGCGCGAATCTTAGTGAAAATGGAGTAAGCAATAACAAATGAGCAATTCACGAGCGTATTTAATAAACATTTTGAAATAAATGCCGTAAAAATGGGTTTGGGAGACTTAATGTCTCAACCGATTCATGACTTCAAACACACGACTAAGGTTAAAAACATTATTGTAAGAAAAAAAAAACACTAAAAAATTTGAATGACCTGCTTAGAGTATCGCCCTAAATCTAATAGATTAATATTTGACCACAATTAATCAAAAAATTCCACTGAAATAGCGAACAAAAACGGATTTCTTTTGACAATAATAGTATGGGGGAAAGCAAGGAAAGTTAAAGCGATTGCGAATAATAATGGTAAAAAAATTACAAAAATGGCTTGAGTAGATCCAGATATTCAAATCAGAACCAAAATAGATAAAAAATTTTGATATACATAAAAAAGTCCGACAATAAAATTAATTTACTTTAATTTTAAATGTTATACAGAAAAATTTTAGGTGGAATAAATTTGTTTTATTGTTGTTTTTGTAGCATTGTATATAAACTAAATGAATTTAAAAAAAAAATCCATATTCAATAATCATTTAACAGATTTTTCGATGAAATAATGTAGCATGAGCACTTTAGCACTTTATTTTGTCCGATAGTGTATATGTGTTGTATGATGCTAATACCCCGTTCACACGGTGCAATTATTCGTAATTCACGCATTACGAATTAATGAGTGTTATCATTTTCGAAACAACAATTTTTAACTACTTTTTTGTGACAAATTTTCTTTAAGCTTCCATTTCTTTTTTAATTCTGATGAATTGAAATAAATAATATTATTTTGAAGCAGAGGTTCTCAGCTTCATTTGATATTAATATTAATAACATATTCTTTATATAAATTTGGAATTCCATCTTTTGAAATCTTATGTCTTTTCAACTTTATGGTCCTTTTACAGGGGCATGAAAAACTGAGTACACAGTGTTAATACTAATGGTCCACAGTTACCTGTACACGTA